AAATACAGATAACGATATTGTGTGGAAAATACCCTCAAATTTGTAGGTAAGTTGAATTTCTCACGAAATATTTTGCACCCAAGTAATACTATGACATTTCCCAAGCACATTTTGGGTACACAAGGATACGATGAGTTTATTTTATATAACAAAATGTTAATGATTATTGTGCTATCAGCTGCGCCGAAGTGATTTATGTGAAACACTTCAAAAAATTATAAATGACGGTCACATGATCAATAAAGTCATGTGATATCATAACAAATATGTTAATGTATAGCCGAGGGAACCCTCTATATAAATTGGAAATACTAAAGTACAACACTTATAAATTAAAAACAAAACCGACCTCGCAATGAAATATTATGTTTTGAGCGCATTTTAAAACTTCGGGAAGCCTTATCATAGCTGCGTAAAGCAGCTGAGGAGATAAATCCTTCATATTTTTTCATGTGTACATCACCTTTGTCAAGACTTCTCCAAATATAATGTTTTTGATCTCGTGACCTAGATATCGAAATTTCATTTAAAAATTAAATAAAATAATAACAATCATGGTAGTGTATTTTGCAGCAGAACAAATGGAACTCGTCAATATACTTACCTTGTCATTGGTCATTTGCAATATTATTTCGGTAAAAAAAAATTCTGATTGTACACACAAGTACTCTGAAGTTGAATTAGAAAGATGCTTGCGTTTCAGATTGATTGATTGATTGGTTTTTTTTTTATGTTTTTATGTTGTTTTACGCCCCATTCGAAAATTTTTCATTCATATACGGACGTCACCATATACCGGTGAAGGGCTTCAAAGAATCTGGGGGGATAAGACGAGCCATGTGCCCATGCCCATTTTTCGGCTATGCAAGAACATTTATTGGAAAAAATCTCTCAATTGTTCGAATTTACTTAAGCATTTTAATGTTTACCGTAGTTTTCAAAATGATATTTATATTCTAAACAAGCTAAACAGTTGACTTTCATTTAATGTCACAAATGTCTAACATGGGTAAGGACTTCTATTAATTAATCTGCATATTGAGTGTTTACACTTATTGTGGAGATATTATAAAAATGTTAACATCGTATATAATGATAATGGTGATCTAGAAGCGCTTTTATTTAAAATAAATAAAACGGGAATAAAAGTATTCAAATATCTATTATAATTTTTATCCGGCATTTTAAATAATTTACTGTAAATAAGTTCATTACTACATGTATTTATTTTATTTCCAGTGAAAAATATGTTATTCCTATAGACATTTTTTATAAAGTAAAACAAAATTAAAACCAAAAAAATCAACAACAAAAAAAAAAAAAAAAAAAAAAATCGGAGCATGACTCGAACACTTTCCTCAATAAACGTCCCTTTAAAGAGCTCATCGCTAACTACTAGACCACGGAGTCACACTAACATTTCCATTTGAATAGCATACAGTTCTCTATATTTAGCAAGCGTTTTTGGACTTAGATTTTTTTAAGACCACGGTGAAAATTTAAGTAAGTTAACTTAATTTTTTATGTAGAGTGGGTCTTCATACCAAATTTTTGCAAGTGTAAAAAGTAACATCTTTCCATTGCCTTTCATTAATCGTTCTCAAAAAAATGGTACGATGACCCACTCTATTTAAAAAATGTAATTATATCATCCAATTTATGTCAGTTTCTGTGAAAATTGAGCGTGATGCCATTTTGTTGTGTTAATCAGAATCATTTTCGCTGTTACAGTATTCAGGTTTTGTCAAATTTATATGCAAATGGTAATAAGCATTACATTAATTCAACAAAAAGTGAAATTTTTGTAAAATGAATTTATTGATTTTTTATCGATCGTTATGTAGGCATATGGCTCGGCTTATCCCCCCAGTTTCTTTTGACCTTTACTCGGCACTCAGGGCCATTGAGAAGTGAGTGATTTTAATCGTGCCAACTCCTGACGTGACACGGGGCCTCGGTTTTTAAGGTCTCATCCGAAGGACCAACAACTTTCACTTCAAAGTGCCAAGCGCATGGCGAAGGAACAATTGCTACCCATTTTTTATCGACTTAGGTCAGTCGCGGCCGAGATTCGAACTCAAGACCTCCCGATCACGGAGGAGTTTCTGATTGATAATATCTATGTAGTTTTGTGGAGATCAGATCTTCAAACAATCTGTTGAAATTCCAATGAGTACCAATAGCGACCCCTCTTTAGCAGACTTATTTTGTATTCATATGAACAAGAACTTATTCAAAAACTTCTACATGAGAAGAAGAAAACACTTGCTGTGGCCTTCAGCTCGACATTTAGATATATCGACGACATATTAGTAATTAACAATAGTTATTTCCATTCATATGTTGACTTGATATATCCCAGTGAGCTTGAAAAAAAGATACCACACTGTCTGACACATCTGTTTCATATTTGGTTATTCTACTAGAAAAAGACATTAATGGTAACCTAACAACAAAGCTTTATGATAAACGTGATGACTTCAATTTTTTCAATCGTCAAATTTCCTTACTGTAGCAATATACCCTTATCACCTGCATATGTTTTTCTGTCTTCCAGTTGGACCGTCACGGTAGCTCAGTCGGTAGAGCGCTTGCTCCGTGAGCGGAACGTCGTGATTTCGAATCTCGGCCGCGACTGACCTAAGTCGATAAAAAATAGGTAGCAACTGTTTCTTCGCCAAGCGCTCGGCATTTTGAAGTGAAAGATGCGGGTCCTTCGGATGAGACCTTAAAAACCGAGGCCCCGTGTCAAGACAGCGTTGGCACGGTAATGATCTCTCACTGCTCAATGGCCCTGAGTGCCGAGTGAAGGTCTAAATTTGAAGCCTTCACCAGTACATGGTGACGTCTCTATATGAGTGAAAAATTCTCGAATGGGACGCAAAACAACATACAATCAATCAATCTTCCAGTTGATTCGATACGCAAATGCATGCTCTGAATATGAAAAATTTCTAAAACGAGGCAAGCTATTTACAAACAAGTTGATGATACAAGGATATCAACAGTCTCGTTTGAAGTCATCATTTCGCAAGTTTACTAGTCGATACAATGATCTTGTCAGCAAATACAACCTATGATTAAGTCAAATGCTGACTGACGTCTTTCACACTAATTGTTAGGGCATTATTTACACACAGAATTGTCTACGGATTTTTCCATTTATCTCGATCATGACAAGGAGCACACGGCGGTGGGTTTGACCAGTCTGTAGGGGATGCTTACTTCTCCATGGCACCTGATTCCACCTCTGATGTTTTTGAAGGTCCGTGTTTGCTCTGCTCCCGATTTGTATTATTTAAATGGACTTTGAGCTTGAATATTGTTCGTTATCACCATATTTCATGTACAAATATAACATGATGGACAGACAACGAGACAGACAAAGAGTTACAATATGCCACAGATCATTAAACCCAAACGAGATAGACCCTGTAAGGGAATACTACAATTCTCTGAATTAGCTTGTTATCTAAGTTATTTAAATTACTACTACCTGATGATTAAAAGGCTTCTCACAATTCCAAAATAAGAGAAGTTTTACCCGAATCTCGGGCTTTGAATCACTGATAACTGTGTGTGATATACTCCCAAAAATATATAATGTAGATTGTGAAGTGGTGCATGTGAACATTGCTTTAAAAAGGGTTTTTTTAGGAAACCTTGTTATTTAATTTCGAGATAACTTGTTCCTCCTCTTCATTTATATTGAAAAGTAAAGAACGCATCCCTATAGCTATGATTAATATCAGCTAAAAAAATTGATAACCTGATAATAAATATATTTAAATCACGAGAGGGTGCTGTACAGCCGGAAATTAACTCGCGGAGATAATATTCGCTATATTCGCGGAAAGAAAAATTCCGCGAATTCAACATACAGTGAATAATTCTTTAGAAAATGATAAGGATAAATTAAAATATTACTGTTATCTGTGATTAGATTCGATAACTCTGTGTGTGTTTCTGTGCAAACATACATAAAAACAGTAGTTAATAATATTATAGAGGAGATGTAGACTGTCTTCCTAATTATGCGGGTGTACGGATCAATCATTAACACGTAATTGTTGGTGTTTTTAAAGCTTAATTGATAGATAAACTTCTATAATTAACATTTAATTCTACCACCCAGTAGAGGTGCGATGTAATTACCTATAAACATGTATTGTTAATTTCATCCGTGCGTATCACTCAGTCTTATAACCTTTAATCTAGGTACTTACGTAGTAAAGACAATACTGTTACACATTGATTCAATTATATTCACAGTTCAACATTTTGACTACCGGTACTGACAACTGATTTAGATTCAGGGAGGTTCAAATATACTACAGTAACTACTACTCTGCACTCTTCTAAAAACATACCTATAAACGAACACCTCCCAAAGGGATTTTTTTACACAGGCCCGTAGGAAGCAAATTCAGTTGGGGGGGGGGGGGCACAGCCATACATTTTCAGTTGACAGTTGAGATGCACTACCAAAATTTCCTGACAACCCAAAAAAAAAAAAGGTCATTAGACGTTTTTATTGAGGGGGCACAAGCATATAATATCTATGTTTCTTATAGTAATCTATATATACCCCCACCGGTTCCTACGGCCATGTTACATGAATGTTAATAGGTTTGGATGTGACCTAAAATCACATGAATAAATCACTTGGGTATAGATTCATATGTATTTAAGAATATTCATTAAAAAAAACAAGGGGAAGAAAGAAAAAGAAAATTTACAACGTCTTGACTCGCTCCGGTGTTTTGTTATATCAGAATCGACGCAATAGTATGGAAAATACTTGCAATGCTGAGAAAAATTTATGTATAATTCTTCCTTTCCGCGAATTCAAACGACCGCGATTTCTACAAATTGAAAAAATCGCGCTCTTTTCCGACCGCGATTTTAACCTGTTGTACAGTGTATTAATCTAAATGCATATATATGAAGGTATATTAATTGAAGTACTCACAAGTATGTTTTCCCTACCATATACTCACTATATGCTGTGTCTGTTCCATAAAAGTAAATCTGTATATCATGTATACTTTTTATTTCCTGTAAATCCACATACCACCATGCTGGATTATCTGGTCCTGTAGAAGAACATGTGTTGATATCTCTGTCAATAGCTCTGGCAGGGGAAGCATTTGTGTCATTATTTCTGCTACTTTGTGTTGCTTTCTTGAAACTTGACAAGTTATCTGTGAATTGATAAATTTCTTACATTTACATGTCTCTATGATATTCTGAAAGAACCCTACGATATTCTGTAAGAAAGTAATGTTTAGCATTTTATCATAGTTGTTTCTCTTTACTTGGATATATGTTTGTGCAGTTGTTTTACAAATAGTGGACAGAAATATAAGTTCAGCAAGTTAAATGGCACATGCACATTACCAAAAAAAAAAGCTAATTTAAAACGTTCACATGTCCTGCACACACAACTAGAATTTTAAAAAAGTACAACAGTGTACTGATACAGTTTGATAATTTGAGATATTATTCTCTTCTGAGAAATCCTGATATTTACTGATATTTTATTTTGGCTGTTGACAATCTTCATTGTTGCTGATAGAACCTGAAAACTTTTTTCGGATGTTTCCTAGTTGTACAATTTTTTTTAGCCTAGTCGATGCCAAGTATGCCATAATTTTTTTTTTCTACTCGTTATATTATATTTCACATTACAAACTAATTGTTCTCAGCTTCAAATTTGTGATTTGACAATTTGTACTGATATTTTGCCAGTACTTTTACCTGTTTATATAACTTTGACTCTGCTTAATTTTGAAATTCTGTGTCCTATACTGACATTTATTATCTATTAAATAAATGACCTATTTCATTTTTAATGGATGTAATTCTTTTTATTAAATAAAGGCAGACAGATATGAATTATAAACAAAAGGCTCAATGGCCTTACCGGTCACCTGAGAATAATACAATACTGTAAAGGATCCAATGAAGTATGAAATAAAAAACAAAATAAACTGAGACATGACGATATGTTGCCCAAAAGCAAGCGAAATAGGATGATCAAGGATCAACAAAATAGTAAGTCTACTCAGTAAAACAGGTACATTTAAATGTAAATCATATAAAGTAGATCTATTTACTTGCCAGTACTAATACACTCTCTTTCTTCATTATCACTATGCAGACTAAACAATACAGCATTGCTTGAGAACATAGAGTAAACCCTTTTCATTCCCTTATTACACATTGGCCTGTTTTTGAAGAATATATAATGTGTTCTTAATTATTCGTGTCCCTTTTTTATTCATCTATTATTTACAAGTCTACCTGCCCATTAAAAACAATGAAAGTACTTTTTGTATTATACATTAAAAATTCTTATTTAATTCTTTTATTCAATTCGACCTCTATCAATTACATTATTTACAGTTATTAATAATCATATATGAACAAAAGAGGGGAATAGCTTCTCTCAGTAGCGTACATATTTCCCTACAATATCAACAGAGCCCAGCACCAAAACACTTAACACAGCGATCCAGAATTTCACAAATCTGGTAAAACAACCCTTTTTCATTACAACTTTGTATTATGTTTGCGTCCTAGATGCCCAGGTGAAGAGAAGAAGAATCCCAAGGAATTAATGTATTTTAATAGTGTAATATAAACCCCTGGTTTTCAAGGGATTATATATGGTAAAAACATCTTTGGCCCCCATAAAATGCAAATCTTGAAAATCTCTCGAAATGTACAAAAATTATTATAGTATGTAAGTAGATTATCAGCAATTTTTGCTTCTCTGTCATCACAAACTATTTGAATTTTTTTTTTTTAATTATTTTTCTTTTTTTTTCAAGAACAAAAACAAAGTAGACAAAAATCATTTCATTGTGAGTATAGAATTTAATGAGCGCAAGGTTTTATTTTGGGAACAGAAAGTGGTCATTACAGAGTATAGTCCTTTGGACTAGGCATCTTGCTCATTATAACCATGGACTAAGTTTGTTTGCTAAATACCAAGGGGCAGAGAAAAAAGAATTTTAAATAAATATACATTTCGACTACATGATTAACAGAGCCCTACCTAAACACCAGAACTTCTTTCCTAGCTATATAGGGGCCATGAATTCCATAATCTTGGACTCATGCTCATCATAATCTTGAATGTTGCATGTTTGCTTAATATACAGGAGCAGAGAAGATTTTCAAAGAATTGGTGAATTTTCACTAGTTATTCGATAGAATCCCACCCTTACGTCAGAACCCCTGACCCAGGGACCATGAAATCCGTAATTTTGGACACTTACTCGTCATAAGCATGTATTTAGTTCGCTTGGTACATGTAAATGCACAGGGACAGAGAATAAGATTTTAAAAAGAATTTATACATTTTTACTATGTAATCAACAGAACTTCACCCCAACACCAGAACCCCTTATCCAGGGGCCATTAATTTCACAGTTTCAGAAGAGATACCCTTGCCTATTATAACCATGCACTTAGTTTGTCTGTTAAGTACCCAAGAGCAGAAAAGAAGAATTAATAAATTTTCACTATTTTATCAATTAAGCCCCGTCCTTACAGCATAGCCCCTTGTGAATGTCATAATTATGAAAGAGACACCTTTGTTTATTCTTCAGAAGGAGAGAAGACGATTTTCAAGGAATTAATTCATTTTCACTGTATAATCAATAGATACTCTACCACCAGAACCTCAATTTCAAAATTTCGGAAGAGGTACCGTTGCTTATCATACCATGCACTTAGTTTGTCTGTTAAATACCAAAGAGTAGAGGACAAGATTTTCAAGGACTTAAAGCATTTTCAGTATATTTTCAATGGCGTCCCACCATAATTCCAGAACCCTTGTCCCAGTGGTAATGAATTGCACAGGTTTTGTAGAGGACTCTATGCTTATTACAATCATGCCAACCGTTTAATTGTTTAATGTCCAGGAGTAAAAAAGATTTTTAAAGAATGCAATAATTTTGATTGTTTTAGCCCAACCCCTCAGACCCAATGGGGCGGGGACCATGACAATTTTTGCTTCCCTTTATCCATAAATGCCATATGCCAACATTGGTCAAAATTTAAATTGCTTCAGCGGTTACAGAGAAGAAGCTGAAAATGTTCAAATCTGAACGCACGACAACGGACAAAAACAGATAGGAATAGGTCATCTGGCTGACTATGGTGACCTGAAATAAAAGAAAAGAAGAACAAAAAAAAAAACACACACACACACACACACACTTCGAACACTAAATATCGTTCAGGGTATCCGATGTCAGTATACAGTTAAAGTATATCTTTGAGGGGGTCAGCAAGATTCCAGTTCCCCAAGAGTAAGTCTATTTCCCGAGGAGATTTATAGCTTAAGGACAGACGATACATTCCTCAGTAATATATAATTTGTCTAAGATTTTGTCATTGAAGTATTTTCTTCTTTAACATGTTTACTCGCAAAAAATTGAGGTACCTTACCAGGCATTTGTGCAAAATACCAGAGGATGTTTTTCCTATAAAATCCTTTTGGAAAAAAAGCTTAATTAGCCAATAACACATTTTTTGGTGTTTCATTTTTTAAAAGACACTGAGAAACCAGTTTATGAATCAGAAGGTAATTAAGATTTTGAATATTTTCCACAAAATTCGAAGGTATACAAAACAGATATTTGAGGAACGTATCGTCTGACCTTAACATCTTATCACCTAGACTTGACTAAAGAAAAAATATTTCGGGTTGATCTACATTTGTGACGTCAAGGAACATCCAAATCAAATAGTACGTTGTATTTTGGTCTTGATTATTTTTTAATACAATTCGAATTGCATTGCCACAATATGTTAAAAGAACCAGCATGTACTGAACAAGAATAATTTTCTTATCCGAATGACAAAGAAAGAATGTTTAAAATTTATTATTATAGACAAGTTTACCTTCTATAAAATGCATTAAGTTTGAAAATAACATACCGTATCCAAATGAAACTACAAAACAAAAATAAAGGTTCAAAATGAACTCCCACCTTGATTTCATGATATATTTCTTCCTTGTTCAATGACACAGTTTAGATAGATAAACTATGTACAATTATTCTATATTTAGAAGAGCAAGGTAAGGTAAACAATTCAATCAATATAATAACTACCCATGGAAAAATGTTGAATATCTGAAGAAATAATATTAAATTATATCCAGAAAAAAGGATGTTTTGAATATATTTGTGTTAAGATTTCTAAATACATTAAAAATACAGTATACACTTATTTTAATTATTTAATGCATATAGCATGGATTGTTCAAGGAAAGGATAGATCATACTTATTTTATTCAAAAAGACTTTTAGTTATATCTCAATATCATATGCACGAATAATTGTACAAACACTCTTCAAGGAAATAACATTTCTATCCCATTATGTAGAACAGTATCTTATTTTAATACTTTTATCCTTGAGCAATCTGGATTGGTTGTTATTAAATATGCAATTTCCTTTATCGATCTTCAATTCCAAATTATAAACACATCGACCACCAAAACCTGTAATCTTATAAATAGATCCTCATCTAACAAATAATGCACCTTGTGAACTAAACAAGCAGGAAAAGCATATTAGAACGCGTTAATCATTAAACCTTGAATTATCCCAAATAGTGAGATAAAATAAATTGATGAGTGTATGTTGTTTTACTTATTTTAGAAAGCAGTGACGAAAACAGTAAAAAAAAAAAATGTCTCTTATATGAAAGCCCTTTACCATTGATAAATCTTAGTGGATGCTAGGTTCGCTTTCATCAGGAATCTCCTCATTTCTTTTCACTGTAACGTAAAACTTACCTATTTGTTTCAACTATGCAGATATAGTGAAATAACAGGGAAAACATATTTTTGGGCAGAATTCGGTATAAAATTCGTTTTCCTGTAGAAGATAGAAACTCTCTCTCTCTCTCTCTCTCTATATATATATATATATATATATATATATATATATATATATATATATATATATATATATATATATATATATATATATATGTTTGTATGTATGTATGTATGTATGTATGTATGTATGTATGTATATATATATATTCTGAATGCATTTGTAGTTTAATCTGTTGATCATATGACGCATTAAAACAGCTTAGTGAGTGTTACTTGAATCAATATCATTTTATAAAATTAACTTAAGCTTATTTTCACAATTTAACCTAATCAAAGTTATTTAATGTCCCCTCTCTCATTATACCATACTAACTATTTCAATAAAGATGGACATATTGCCCAGGAATCTACAGGAATCATGGGTACGAATCATTCATAGTTTTAATGTTCATGTCAAGTAGACGATATGGTGGGCTGACCACAGATGGGCAGACTTTACAAAAGATACGCAGATAGAAAAATGTTACTGTAAGATTACATTGAAAAACCTTGTCATAAATATATAATATAAGCCTGCTTATCTTAATATGCAACATACCCATGTATCAAAGAATAGGGCATAGTTAAATGCAAAGGCTTTGAAATTTTAGTGGGTAGTGGGTCAGAAGAATCAAAATATAACCTTTTCTTAAGATTCTTTTTAATAAATCAGTAAATAAAATTAAATGGACAAATAAATAGACTGTATTTTAAAAAAAAAAAAAAAAAAAAAAGTAATCGTCTCAAGCGAGGATCTAGCCAAAACATATTGATACCTTATTCATGGACAAATAACATATACCACTATATATATGCTATCGTCGCTACATAGCAGAGCATTTTCACTGTGTAATTTTTAGGAAAAAGCTTTTAATGGCCTCTGGGTCTTCTATCTATTTTTTATTATTATTATCTATTTGAATGTTTGATCGTTTCTTTGAGTTAAAAGGCACGGAAATGACGTTTCAACATCGTGAACTATGACCAAGAGATATCAAATTCATAGAAAAATGTGTGTTTAAAGTATCATTTAGTACCAAATGACTCATCTTACCATATTTCAAGACATACTTTAGCAAATCATATTTCAAGACATATTTTAGCAAATCAAAACACCATATGGGGAAAACATTTCTTTCCTATATATCACAAATACCCGATTCATCAATAAAATATCATCAATGATATGCTCACTTTTTGCCAAAATTCCTGCAAAAACCAGATCAAAAGCGCACTCGTTCTTTCAAGGTCTAAATATAAATTTGATTTGAAAATTTTATATTATAAATTATCATCTGTTAAAAAGGATGGGGTTGTCTTTGATTAACTGAATGGGGGATCCATAAATACATGTAATAGTGTTACAATATTATTCATTATATAGATCATACCTTTAGAATTTGCAAGCATACATTTCCTTTAAATCTCTATTGCGTACTTATACATCTGTAATTCTAAAGAATAAAAAAATAAAGAAAAACAACAATCGACTTTTTTACTGATATGATATTTCCCTTTACAAGCAAAATAAACGCATATAGATCATGAAATATCTTTCGGAGAAATTGAAGGTATCAACGCTACTTGTTGCCAAGTATAATTACCAATAAACAATTACATGTATAATGCCTATGTCTATGCAGTCGCTGAACATGGTAATATTCTTAAATTATCATATATGAATAATTACTAAGTTCTGATATGTTGTTGTTATCCCTTTCTTCTGGTCTGTCACAGTATCTTCTTCCTAAAATTCCTCTGACATTTTAAACAGGAAATAATTCATTTTTCTGTAATTTGGTAGGTATTTTAAGTGTTTTCTGTGAGCAAAATTGGGCTAGGAAAATGTCGTTTTCTTCAAAAACCTGGCTGCCAAGACACTTCTGCCATCGCTTCAAATAGTGAGACAACCATATAAATAATTGATAAAAATTTTTAAAAATGAACCACAGACAAATGAAAAATATGAACGTTTTACAAACTTTTTCAACTTGTGGAGGGTGTTATTCACGGAAGAAAAACTTTTTTTTTCATGTATAATAGCATGGGAGGTCTTGATTATACTGCCAAAAGAGGGCTTAAAATGATAAATTCACATACAAGGTTAACGGAAAAATACTGGTCATACCCCCCCTCCCCCCCCCCCCAAACCCATCCTTTGTTTTAGGTATTGCTCTTTATTGGTTCTAATTGATTCTAATTTAAAAGGAAATAACCTCAAACAATAAAAACAAAGTTAATTTTTTGGAAAATCTCTTACTGCTTTATGATCGGAAGTAAGTGAGGAGGAAGCTTTAAATTTTGTTCTCGTCCTGTGATGCAGAGACTTCTAGTATGTGTAAGAGGACCCCGCCGAACTACATTTATACAACTTGATGAATCGGATGATTATTTTACTCTTGTTACTTCCTTTTTTAACACATTTTCTTATTTATACCATTTTATCATTATACAGTGTATCATTATATTACCATTGTTCTATACCAATTAAAAGTAACATTTCTAAACCTAATGAGGCCCTGAGTTATTAGTCTTCCTCTCCTTTTGTCATATTTGTATAATTTCCTTTATTAATTATTAAACTCATTTCGGTATGTACTTTATTATTAAGTAGCACTATGTTTGGAGAGAATACAACGACGTACGATTTACTTCTCTGTAGTTATTGATGAGCAATAATTAATTCGACCTTTAAGATAAATTACACATCACCACAGGAGACCAGACTGACCGGACGTGCCTCACGGTTGCAATTGTCCGCATTCATTTCAAATCAATTTATTATCCACATTAAAATTTGAAATGTAAAACTGTAAATAAATAGAGCTTAGTTAAGCTTAGTTGTAGTCCTAGATGTTTTTGTTTTCACTTGTGTTTATTTACTTTTTATTCTCTCTATTGCCTGAAGAAAGCTAAAAATTTGACAATATTAATTGTTGGCCTCGTTGGTCATTTTTAGTGCTTTATGTAAATTTCCATCCGTGACCTTGTATTTAATTAGTAGATGCGACACAGGATATACACATGGGAACACAGCTTATAAAGAGAATACAGTCCATAACATACTAAAACAAATCTTCAGTAGGTCTCATGTCACTGCGAGATAGGTCCATCGCCTGTTTATCTGTTTATGGAGGAAAACAAGGGGAAATTCCGTGTGTGCATCAGTGATAATCCAGAATTAGAATGAGTCTTATCCAATTTTTTTTAGCAAAGATTTAACGTGGCTTGCTTATGACGCTACCACTATCATTCATGTGCCGCAAGCTTTACCATTTAAAACAAAAAATTCCATGTTTTTTCCCTGTTTCTACCTTTTTTTACAAACCACACTTTATATAACCGGAAGGTAAGTTTCATAAGCGAAGGTGTGTCTCAAGCACTAAAAATGAACCACGAAACGAACAATAGAAATTGTCCAATTTTTGGACGCCCTGTCCCTTCCTGAGGACAAATAAAAGAGTTAAGAAGTCATAAAAACAGAGGAAATAGAGAAACAAAAACAACTAAGGTCTATTCGTAATGACCCTTTGTTTTAAATTCGATCCCAAATAATAAAAAAATCACTGATTTACATCAACAACAAAAGCATTAATTTCAAATGGAATAAAGTTTGAAGCATGACGCGAAACGTACTTTTTCAGATTTTTTTAAGAAAATTTGACGCAGTGAATAGAAAGATCAATAATTTTATTATCACAACATTAAAGTAATTTAGTGCCATACATAATAAATTGATAGAAGGAAACATAATAAAGTCATCTTCTTTTTTATAGGAAAAATATATAGGATATGATCAAAATCCTATATATTGAACTTGGTTACAAGTTTTTGAAATACATAAGAAGATAAAGAATATTCAAATTTGTACAAGACAGACAAAAACTGGGTGCAGATTTTAGGACAAAAAGTATAACTGAATATCAAAAGTATAGGCAAAAGGAAATACAAGTAAATGTATGAATGTCGTTTCTTTAAAGATGAGCAAACATCTGGCCAAAGTTAAATGTAGAGATTTTTTTTACTGCTGTTAATATTTTTGTTAGAAGTAAAGAAGAAGGCTTTATAAATGGAACATTTACTAGAACCGCAATTGTATCTTTATAAGGATTTTTATGTAGTT